TCGGCCCCGCCGCCCTCCCGGGGCCCAGATGGGCCCGAATCTGGCCCGGGGTGCTATGGCCGGGGCAGAAGAGTGCTCCAAAACTGTGGTCGCCGCTGCCTCAGCCTGAAAGGGGGAGGGCGGGGCGCGATTCTCCACGCTGCTTGGCGCCTGGGAACGCTGCTGCCCAGGCAAAGCCCATCAATACCCAGGGCGCAGACCAGTTGGAGCGGAAGATGCCCCGGCTTGATGGAGCTGGCGGGGGGCTCCCCACCCAGCAATTTTCCCTCCTCAACACTGAGGCCCCACAGAGGCAAGTTTGTCCATTTCCCAACCACAGGGCTTAACCCCTTAACCCCCGCGACTTGGTTCTCAGCCTCACAAGCAGCCATGATGGATGGATGCCTTGTCCCGAACTTCACTGAACAAACCCCAAAACTTAAGGCCAGAGGAGCCCAATAAAAGGCAATGTCTAGGTTTGGACCCAGGAACTTCTCCCGAGATCAGCCTTACTGTGGATCACACAGTTACAAGAATTCAGCTTCCATGGACCAACCAGGCCGCCTGCATCAGAGTCCTTCTGTAGGGCTTAGCGTCCCAGGTCCCTCCACTGGGCTCCCCGGATCCCCAATAACCTGAATAATGGAAAGGAGTGCAGGGACATGGACCTGCTAAAGTGCAGGCTCAAACTCTCATTGAATATCAGTGATCTTCCTTACCCCCTCTGCCCATTCTTGGAACTCTGAGAAGGCCCACCTGGGTAGACTCCCAGGCCTTCCCTGTTGGGGGAATGGTCCTTCACCTCAGTTGCCTGGCCTGGAAGCCCAGGGCTAGGGAAGGGTGGCAGTCTGGCTCACCCTGTCTGTCTCCCAGCAGGAAACATGGAGGTTGGGTCCTAACAGTGTTGGACCCCATCAAGGAGGAGGCCTGCTATGGCCCTGAGGGCGGGCTGCACGCTTTAATGGGACACATGTTGCTGCATGGCCCCAGCGGGCCCTGCCTGCCAGTGGCTTTGAGCAGCCACAGGCAGAAAATTGCTGCATTGTCCCAACATTAGGGTGACTAATGTGGCATCGCCGTGTGGCCAGAGCGTGAAGTGAGCAAAAAGGCATCAGTGGCCTGTATTCCATGGCTCAGTGTGTTCATCAGGTCCAAGGAAGCCTAGGGCTCTCTTACCCAGGAACTTCTCCTGAGATCAGCCTTACTGTGGATCACACAGTTACAAGAATTAGGGTGGCCTGCAGACCACAGACCTCCCTTCCTTATAAGCAATACCCAGAATGCTTGGGAATACAAGGCAGCGAGAACTTGGCAGACTGACCCAGTGGTGAAATCTAGAACCTATGAGACCAACCTATGGGACCAACATTGCATGGACAGAATGGGCCTGGGAGGGTTGCCCAGAATTGGGAAGTGGTAAGGATAGGAGAGATTAAGAAAAGACAAGCCAGGTTCAGTGCTTGCATGCCTGTAATCCCAGCTACTCTGAAGGCTGAGGCAGGAGGATTCCAAATTTCCAAATCCAAGACCAGCCTGGACAACTTGGCCAGACCCTGTCTCAAAATTAAAAAAAAAAAAAAAAAAAAAAAGTGTGGGGGGGAGCTGGGGATGTGGCTCAAGTGGTACTGCACTTGCCTGGTGTGCGTGCAGCCCGGGTTCGATCCTCAGCACCACATACAAACAAAGATGTTGTGTCCGCCGATAACTAAAAATAAATAAATATTAAAATTCTCTCTCTCTCTCTCTCTAAAAAAAAAAAGAAAAGAAAAAGAAAAGAAAGAAAGAAAAAAAAGAGGGCTGGGGATGTTTCACTCAGTGGTAGAGCGCTTGCCTAACTAGCATGCCTGAGGTCCTGGGTTCAATCAGCAGAGAGAGAGAGAGAGAGAGAGAGAGAGAGAGAGAGAGAAAGGAAGGAAGGAAGAAAGGAGATCCTCAGGGAGGGAGGAGGTGTCCTGAAGGAGAGAGGCAGCCTGGGCCATTGGAGGGGGCTCCAGGAAGTGAGGTGGGGGCCTACCCTTCTGCAGCTCCTTCTGTCCCCTCCCCCTTGGGGTTTCTTGACTTCAGAGGATTTCATTGACATGTAAACGAGGGTCCCCTATAAAAGCCAAGCCTTGCTTTGCTGGCGCAGATACCACAACATGGGCACAGAACCCGCAACCCGGGGCAACTCTGGAGTCTCTGCTAACAGCTTCCGAAAGGTCTGGGGTTCTGAGGGGTTCGGGGTGGGGGCCCTTCCCCCAGCCAGTGGGAGCAGAGGGCGGGAAGGCCAAGCCCTGCTCTCTAAAGATTGCTGGTCCGCAGATATCCAAACCGCTGATGGAGAAAAAGCGCCGGGCGCGCATCAACGTGTCCTTGGAGCAGCTCAAGTCGCTGCTGGAGAAACACTACTCACACCAGGTGAGACTCGGGGAGGAGGAGGAGAAGGGCCGCCCCCCCTTCCCCGCCTGGCTTAGAGCACTTCCTACTGATCTGCAGATCCGGAAACGCAAGCTGGAAAAGGCCGACATTCTGGAGTTGAGCGTCAAGTACATGAAAAGCCTTCAGAACTCCTTGCAAGGTAGAAGGGAGGCTTTGAAGGGGCTGGAGTGGGAAGATGGGACAGGGACGTGTGGAATCCGAGCCGTGGATACGACAAAGCCAGAAACAGAAGGGATGGTTGGAGAGCAGAGCTCAGGGAAAGGTGGGCAGTAGGTGGGCTGCTTAGGGGACGATGTTCCCCCAGTTCGGTTTGGGTGCTGGTGAGGGACGGGCAATAAAGATGTGGCTGGTTGTGGGGTTCTAATCTGTGTGCAGAGGTCTGCGCCGAGGGTAGACGTTCGGGTCGTCTCACTTTCGTACCTCCTCCTTTCTCCTCCACACTTCTCCCCTCCCTTTCTCTCCCACTCCACGCCTCTCCTCTCCATCTCTCCCTCTTTTACTCCCATCTGTTTAGGGCTCTGGTCGGTGGGCAGCGGAGCCGAGTACCCGACGAGCTTCCGTGGCTGTCTACCCGGCGTGAGCCAACTCCTACGACGCGGAGAGGAAGGCGGAGGCGGCCTGCGCTGCCCCCTGGTGCGGGACCTCGCAGGTAGCAGCACCATGGACAGCGCCAGCACTAGCCCGGAGGCGCCCGCTCTAGGCCACCCCAGTGGTCCTGGTGTCTGGGGTCCTGCTCCAACTGCCGGCGGCTCGCGGTCCCCACCACCCAGGCTCCTCTTCCCTGGAGGTCTCCCTGGCTCCTCCACCAGCGTCCCGGAGCCTCCGCCAGCGTCATGCCGCCGAACCGAGAGCCCAGGGCCTGGGATGCGCGTGTGGCGGCCCTGGTGAGGCCTTGGACTCAAGGGGGCCCCCATCTGGTCTGGGGACGCAGAGACGATATTTTGGATGCACCCCTGGTGACTTAAGGGACACCTCAGACGCCCGTTCTGCTCCTGGGGTGGGGGTGACCTAGTGAGCGCGGTGTACCCGTGGACGCGGGAAAATACAAAGTCACGTGCGGACCGGGTCTGCGCATCTAGGCATAATCCAACCCCACTCCAGCTCCACCTACTTAGGCCGGACCCGCTCTCTCCTCCCACCCTCTAGAGGGGCTGCGCCCCTTTCCCAGGGACCTCGGACAGGAAGGCCACCCCCGCCCCCCTCCACGGCCGCGCCGCGGTGGGAAGGTCGCAGTCCGCAGCGGCGCAGAGCGGACCCCTCGCAGCGAGGAGAATCGCTGCCCCGCCCCGGCCCATTCAGCCTGCTGCAGGCGCCAGGTTCCCACCCGCACAAAGCGCGCTGAGCCCCGCCCCGCCAGCGAAGGGCTCCCTACCTACCCCCCCCCCCCGACCTTCAACACTATCACGGATCCCCACCCCCTCCGCACACGGCACTGCCCACCGGGCAGGCGCGCTTTCCAAGGCCCGCGCATCTCAGAATCCCCCCTACTGCCCCGCCCACAACAGACACTGAACTCCGGCACGCCCACCCGGACGCCCCGCCCTGCTCAAGTCTTGGGAGGGATCCATTGCTTGATCTGGCCCGCGTGAAGGCTGTCCAGAGCTAACCCCAGCGCTTCTCGTGGGAGCGGTGCACTGGACAAAGACCCCTGGGCAGTATTCTGGACCCAGATCCTGCAAAACCCGGGTCTCCCGACCTCCCTGGCCGTCACACAACCCTCGACGGCCCTCGGAGCATTCTGTGCCTGTTGCTGGTCCATAATGAGGTTATCGCCGCGCTGGGACTTGGGTGGTGAGAGACTCCCAAGTCAGTTTTTCTTCCCCAGGGCTTCTAGCAAGGGACCTCCTGGGGGTGGGGTCAGGTCTCTGACCCCACCTTCTCCTACCAGGTTGTAATTCGTAATAAAAACAGGGCGAACCCGTGTAATGGGTATAAAGAGGCCAAGATTCCAACGTCTTCCACGATGCCTACTTAGGTGCGCTTTGTGAACGGCAAATATTAGCTTTCTATAGGATCATTTCTTCGGGGTGCTACTCCTGCCCTATCCGTGCTCCAGCCCCGTCTTGGTCCGATCTCAGGGAGAACGACTCACGGTGCCAGGGCGGACACCTCTCCCTACGCATCCTGCTAGCTCCCAGGACGAGGGCGGAGGTAGGATCCTCCTCTTCAGCCTCGGCTTCCTGCGGGAGGGTGGGAGAGGTAGGGACAAATCCCTTTGTTGGCCACCAGACGGCGGCCTCTCACCACCGACCTAAAGGGGTGACCCCAAATTTCAGCAGGGGGGTTCTACCGCAGCAAAACCTGGCAGAACAGGTCTGAAAAGGCCTAAGTTAAGCTCCAACGGCCCAGTCCTACTCGTTCTCTTGAATCACGCTCACAGTGACTGGCGGGCTTTGGTGCCCACCCAGTGTTTCATGCTGTTGGCTCCAAGTCCGTCTCCCATGATGGGCAGGACCAGAGAGCTCTTAAAGGGACAAGTCCAACCCCAAGAAATGGCACATTGGTGAAGAAATTCAAGTTTCAGAGGGAAAGACATTTGGGTGCTGCTGGCCAGCCCTGACATTAGATTCTGAAAGGGTGTTAATGAGACTTGGACGGCCAGGTGCAAATCATAAGGAAGTTTGTATTGGGTCCTGTACAGGAGAGAAATGCTCAGTTGTCCAAAACGAAACAAAACAAAAGAAACAAAACAAAAAACCAACAACTACAAACAGACCCCTGGCTCTGGGATGGATGGTGGTATGTAGACAGAGCTCCCTCCCCAGCTAAGTCCAGGGTCAATGTCTTTATAAACACAGCAAATAAGCCTGGAAGCTAGACAAAGTGTGGGAGAGAGCCCCAGGGTCCTCCACGTGGGGTCCTCCCCTGAAATTTCCTATCAACCAGGACTAGAGTGATTCGGGAGGACTATGTCCCCACTGCAAGTATTGCCATTGGATATGAAATTATTCAGTGAAAACCCAAGGTGACAAATAGTTTTTTTTGGGGGGAGGGGAGGAACAGTGGCTAGCTGGTGGCCTCTGTCCCCCCATGTGATACATCTGTTCTTGAAGGCACAGCAGCATTGGCCAGGATGACCCTTCTTGTGGCTGGGGCTGGACTGCAGTCGCCCGTGCCCCTTGCTCACCTGTGGCTGGCCCATCTCCATTATCCTACAGCTAGGGACCAGAGAGGCCTCTGAAGCCAAGTTGAGCAGTCATCTGCCTCTGCCCTCAGTGGCCCCTCTGGGGCTAGAACCCTGTCTGGAAGGTGAGGAAATGAGGCAGAGGGAACAAGACACAGCTGGCTCTGTGCTGGCCTTGAAACAGGTATCCACTTTGAGGGACCACTGCATGGTGGCAGTGCTATCCCTTCAAAAGGTCACAGCTATTCCTGAGCCTCTCCTTCACCTGGAATATGTGGGCCCTGGCAGAGCCGGGGCCTGCAAGAAGGAGAGCAAAGAGAATCCCTGTCCCAGGGTGGGGGAGGGCCCTTGCTAGGGGCCCAGCCTTCAGGGTAGGTAGGGGTGAGTCCAGGGATGGGCAAGCCCACATCCTGACTTTGCTTTAGTCCTTTGAACCATGAGTCCACATCTTTCATGGTGGGAGTCACAGAGGTGGCCGACGTGGTGGGGGACAGGCAACTATGGTGGAGTAATGAGCGTGGGGACATGAATGGTGGTCACGGTGGGTGTGGTGCCAATGGTGAGGGTGCAGAAGTGTTGTGCTTAGCTAGGGTAGAGTGTGAGTCCCCAAGGAGGCAAGGGGCACTGAGAGGGAGGCCTCAGGCCTAGGGGCCACATGCTGAAGCCTGACCCTCACAAAGGACCCCTAGAGGGCCCTATCTCTTACACCTGGTCCACTCAGTGGCCAGGGCACACGGACCAGACTTCAAAGAGCCCTGAGAACATGGCCACCTGTTCATCACAGATAGAAAAACTGAGGCAGAACAGGTCCCAGGCTGAGAGACCTGCTCAGAGAGATTGTTTGGGCCATGAAGACCCCTGTGCTTAAAGAGACCCTCTGCAATCCACGCCTCTGAGGTGTGGCAGTTGCAGTGCAGATTGGAGGGTGGTTTCTGGTTCCAGCTTTTCCAAGGCTGGGACTTTGTTCTGATGGTGACCCCGTCTCAGGGGTCTCTGCACCTGGTCCAGCTAAGGAAGGCTGGTGCAGCCAATGTGTAGACGGCTCACTACCCAAGCCCTGCCACGCTGGCCCCAGGAGATGCTGTGCCCAGCGCAGGCGTCCAGGGCAGCCATTGTGCCCCATTGTAATACCGGCAGGGAGAAGCCAGAAGAGAGGCGCTGTGCCGCTGTTCTTTTACCCCTGAGAGGGGTGACACATGTCTGCGCGGGACACAAGCGGCATCTTTGGTACTGTGGTCCTCGCAGGCGGCCCTGCCTGCCTGGTGTTCTGGGAGGCTCCGGTGGGCCCTAGGACGCTGAGCCCATCGAGTCCGAGTGCAGTGTGACGTAGCCCGAGGACTCAGAGGGCGAACTCAGGAAGCTGCTGGTACTGCCGCCGCCGTGCAGGCCGCCGGGCTCGCCCCACGACGCGCTCAGGCCGGTGTGCAGGGGCCCGGCGCGCGCACGCGCGGCCCGGTGCGGCCCTGGGCTCCGCCGCGCACCGCCAGGGGGCGTCGGGGCCTCGCCGGGCTCCGAGCCGTCGAGGGCGGTGCGCAAGGCGGGGAAGGGCCGGGCTGGGGCCAGCGGGCGGCGCAGGGCCTGCGGCTCGCGCTCGACGGCGGTCAGGGCGAAGGCGTCCGGCAACAGCGAGGCTGAGGCAGAGCGGGCGCCAGGCCCAGGCCGGCGGCGCGGGCTGCCCGGGGGAGAGTCGTGGGCGCGGCGCGGGCCGCCATCCAGGACCGGGAGGCGCAGCGACAGCAAGCTCTCTGCCGAGCGGCGGCGCGGACGGAACGGGGGCGCGTCCTCAGCGAAGGCCAGCAAGCTGCCGCGGCGCCGGTCGGGCCCCGAGGGCAGAACGAGGTGTGCCAGGGCGGCCAGGTCCTCGCCGGAGCCCCAGCGCGGCAGGAAGGTGGGCAGTGGGACGGTGGCCCACACGTCTGCGTCGTCGTGGGACAGGCGCCGCGTGGGTGGTACCTGAGGACCGGGCGGGATTTAGCCAGGAATTGCCCTCCTGGAAAACCGGCATCGACACCTCCCCGTACTCAAGCAGCCAGGGGGTCGGGACCGGGGCTGCCTGGTTTGGAGCTGTGAGCTTTGGAGCAAATGACAGCCTCTCTGAGCCTCAGTGTTGTCGCGTGTAGCTCCTGAACCGAGCAGTGCGCCAGAAGGAAACAGCAGACATCAGGTGGACCACTCCTCCAGAGCACAGGAAACATGGGGGAGGGGGCAGGGGGCCCCTCCTGAGCCCTTGCACACAGGCTCTGTTACCTGTGACCTCAGGCCAGCCCAGAGGGTGATGCCATTCCCCTGAAGGTACCAGGAGCCTGAGATGAGCTCAGAGAAAAGGGCGGGTCGTCAGACCAGCCCACCTTCCACCCCTCCTCCCCCACCCCCACCCCCCCTACCTGGAGGTACTGCATCTTGTCCTCCTGCAAGGGCCGCAGTGGGTAGAGCTGAGGCAGACCCTCCTCCAGGGCAGAGAGCTCATACTTGGCCATCCTGTCCAGGGCCACAAAGTCACCGCCATAGCTGTAGTCAAGGGAGCGCTCCAGCACCAGGTCTGGGGGGACGCTGCCCTCCAGGCTGCTCTCTACAGGGCAGGACAGAGGCAGAGGACCGTAGAAACTTTGGGGCCTATGGGAGGGAGTCCAGGGGACCCCCCATCTCACACAGACACAAGGCAGGGGACTGGTTAGCTGAAAAGAGCAAGGCCGAGGTCCTGGACCAAATCCTAGCTACTTCTGCTTTTAGTTGAACCTGGGAGGTCAGATACTGAGCAAGTTTCCTCATCTAGGATATGGGGTGGGACCTGAGGTTACCTGGGAACTTCCTGGGACTTAATATGCACAGGGATGAGAGTGCCTACACAAAACCAGCCTAAGGTGACACTGTGACTGCTGCAGGGGCCCCTGCGGCAGTTCGCTGTAAGGTTGGGGTGGGGTGAGGCTGGGAGCTCAGGGGAACACAGAGTGTTGGGTTAACTGGAACCCCGTGCAGCAGGGCATGGCGGGAACAATGCAGGGGGATGTTCAGCTTGGCGCTGATACAGGGAGTATCTGCAGCTGAGAATGGGGTCGCCTAAGTGCTATGGGGATCTCCAAGGCAGCTGTTTTCCCACTGACCTCACCTGGTTGTCACCCTTCCCAGGGACCACTCACAGGTCGTCCTTACCATCGTCTGAGTCCACATCGTTGGCCATGAGGGCCATGCACTTCTCCCAAACAGCCTTGAGGTCTGCCCGGTATCGGTCACAGGCCCAGAGGAACACAGGCAGCAGCAGGGCCTGGGCCACAGAGCACCACAGCACACAGAGCACCATCCAGGGTGCCGAGGCATCAGCCCGCAGGCTGCTGAAGCTCACCACCTGTGGGCACAGGGCTAGGCCTGACGGCTGGACCCCCAGCCTCCCTCCCAGCCTCCGCCACCCCCTTCATACAGCAGGTCCAATAACCCACTGGCCAGAGAAGGAGGTGGCAGTCACAAATAGAATTCTAGGCCCTTGGAGGAAAGGGCAAAGGTGTCTTGCCCACCAAGAACTGCCCACATATTCCTGTGTGCCCAGCCCTTCACAGTGTGGCTGGCAGCACTGGGGAGAAGGCAGTTTGCCTTGCTGTGCCCTTTGCAGGTGAGGAGCAGTCCTGGGAATGGGTCTCCAGCAGGCACTTTGAAAAGCCAGCCCCCACCCCCTGCTCCTCCTTGGCCAGTGGCCTCCTCAGCGCTGCCCTTGTGCCAGGCATCTAGGGCCCACACTCCCAGTGGTTTCTGGATCAGTTCCCCGGGCCCCTTCATTTCTCCTGTCCCAGGAGAGCCCTCATGGCTCTCCCCACCTGGAAAGAGTGGCATTTAACAACTCCTACGACAGAATGGAAGTATGCATACTGCAGACATCATGAGAGTTCTGCCATTTATGAGCTGTGTGACCCTCAGGAAACCACTAAACCTCTCTAGAGCTTATTTTCTTCATAAGTGAAATGGGCTAAGAGCACCCCACACTAGAGAGGATGAGATACAGATTTCAGATACTGTTTATAACATGTCCATAAATGGCACTTCCCTGCTCTGAAGAGAAGCCAGACAGACCCTTTACCTCTTCCCAGCGCCCCCTCTGTTCCTATGTTGCTGTGGTTTCTCAGCTCCTTCCTGCCATCAGCACAGGGACAGGATGCCAGGCCCCACTGTACACCTAAGGACTCAGTAGCTGGTGGATGGGGAGCAGGTGAGCAGGGGCTGCATCCCAAGGGAGCCCCTAACCCTGAAGCTGCCACCCCTAGCTGCCTTTCTGGAGCTGTGCCCTACAATGACTCCAGGGACATGGCCCTCCCTGCTGCTTGGATGAAGCTCCGGAGGGGCCCTGGCTGAGATTCCCTTCTTGTCCCATTCCAGACATTCAGGCTAGAGCCCCATGGCCAGAGAGTGTGGCTACTAGGTGTCCAGAGTTCATTCTTGGGCCAGCTAGGTACCAGCTGCAGAGAAGGCCCCAGGCAGTCCCACTGGACCTTGGACCTTCATTATCAAGGCCTCCATAGACAAGAGCTCACCTTGACCTTCCTGAGCCCTTAGGATCAAGCATAACTTCCCAGAACATTCAGGGCCTGCCTGACCTTGCCCTGTCCAATCTAACTCCTGGCTACTGACCTGCCACATCTGGGCCCTGGGCCTACTGGAAATGTGAGGACATGTCACCTCACCTCCCATACCCTCTGCATCTAAGTGGCCTCTGGTGACAGGAGGAATTTCCTTCGAAGTGTGACAGAAGAGACTGTAGTCACCTGATGTGGCTTTGAGTCCCACCAAAGCTGCCCTGACTTTTAAAAGAGTCATGTACTTCCCTGAACCTTGCTTTTCAAACCTGTAAAATAGATACGAAAATGTGCAGCTGAAAGGGGTCCGAGGCTTCCACCACCCGATGCCCAGCCTCTGACTGCCCCAAGCCCATGGCCCCTGACAGGCTCTCCACCAACACCCTCACCCACCAGTACGGGGAAGCCCATGAGGCAGTCATAGATGACCACGATGGTGGCCACCAGGCCTGTGATCTGCAGCGAGGTTCTGGCAGGCTCTGAGCCATCGATGGAAGAGCGGCGCTTGCCCTGTGCGTCCTCCACCACGATGGTGGGCACAGTGAAGGTCTGACGGTCAGCCTGGCGTCCCACCTGCACCACCAGCGTCTGGAACAGGGCAATGGCCGTGCAGACCACCCCCATGGCCACGCTGCCGCCTACTAGCAGCAAGAAGCAGACACCGAAGCCCAGGCCAATCTCAGCCACAATGAAGCGGCAGCCGTGGGCATAGAAGCGTTCACTTGTGTCGTGCCAGCCGACAGCAGGCAGAGCCGACAGGATGAAGGACACCATCCAGATGCCCATGACTGTGTGCACCGCCTGCTTCTTGGCATTGCTCAGCCTGGTGTGGGGCAGGGCAGGACAGAGGAAACCAGTGTCACTCACAGGACCTGCAGAGGGTCATGACTGTGCCTAGCTGCCCCCCATACATCATAGTCATGGCTCAATCAGCGTGGGGGGGCCCTGTCTCTCCCAGAAGATGCCTGTGCACACTACCCACATCCCTCTTGCCAGGTACTCCTCCACTGGGCACCGGTGTACTCACACCCATATGTGCATGTCCCCAGCAGCCCAGAGCCACCCTCCTGACCGCCCTGCCCACTCTAGCACAACACAGGTGTGGCACAACCACAAAGGGCCCTTGCAGGTGCGCACAGGTACACTGGGCACGTCTCTTCATGCACGGTCCTCATAAGGGCACCAATTCTCACATGCTCACCGGTAGTTGACGGGCCAGCGGACCATCCACATGCGGTGATAGGAGAGGGAGGTGACAGAGAAGCAGGTGGCCAGGGTGAGGGTGTAGAAGGTGGACACGAAGACCTTGCAGAGGCCCTCATTCCATTCATAGTCAGGACGCTGCCGTCGCAGCTGCACCACGGCGTAGGTGGCGATGGGCACGGCCACGTTGAGCATGTGGGTGGCTGCGAGCGTGCACAGCAGGAACTCCAGTGGCTTCCACTTCTTCTGTTTGGCACCCACACTGAGGATGCCCCAGGCGTTGGCCAGCAGGGAGAGGCCTCCACACGCCAACCAGCCCACCGCGCTGCCAGGCAGTCGCCGCTCATCACTCATGGTGCAAACAGGAGCTGGCAAGCGGCCGAGGCATCCTCCTTGAAGTCAGACCTTGGCGTGAGCAGCAGCCCTCACACACACACGGTGGCTCAGGGACACCAGGAACCACGAGCAGCTGGGGGCAGGGGAGCACTCAGTGACTCCCCTCTGACCACAGTACGGGAGCTCTGGGCTGTGGGAATGGGGGAGTCCCCGCCTGTCTGGTCCTGTCTCACACCAGGCCTCCTGCCCGGGAGCCAGCACCCAATAACTGTATGTTCCCTCACTTCTGCCCACTCCTGATCAAGGCTTAGAATCTGGGCTTTCTTTCAGGTCATCTGCATCCACAGGCCAATGGACACTCTTGCCTCAAGTGTGTCCTGGTCCTGTCCCAGAACAAGCCCTCTTCCCATCAGACATTCCAAGGTCCTCACACTGTCCACCCCAGGCCTCCCCAGCAGGGCTTTCCCCGTAATTCATCCCACCTCATTGGGCCCAGGGGGCCCATGCCCAGGAGGATGAAGCTCTCTGAAACTCCCTCCTCTTCCTGATTCACCAAGTGACCTGTGAGGAATGGTGTGTCTCTAGCTGGGGATGGAGAGGCCACTGAAGCCTTAGCCAGATTACCCGGCTCTCAGGCAGGGAAAGCAATGTCCTGGTGGGCTTTTTTTTTCTTCTCTACTAGGGACTGAACCCAGAGGCACCCTACTGCTGAGCCCTTATTATTATTACTTTTATTTATTTGCAGCCATGCTGGGGACTGAACCCAGGGCCTTGTGCATGAGCTATATCCCCAGCCCCAACTATTATTTATTTTTAAGTTTTTTAAAAATATTTTTTAGTTGTTAATAGACCTTTATTATTTATTTATTTATTTATTTATAAGGGGGTGCTGAGAATCGAAGCCAGAACCTCACACATGCCAGGCAAGTGTGCCACCGCTCAGCCCCAGCCCCGTACTACTTTTTTAAATTTGAGACGGTCACTTAGTTACTCAGGCTGGCCTCAGCCTCCCAAGTGCTGGGATCACAGGCGTGTGCCACAGCACTCAGCAGTTGCCTGGCGTTCTTTTGGTATGTCTGCTGCCCACTCCCTGGGACGCTCAAGCAATGTGTCTTATTCATTTCTGGGTCCCTGCCCCAGACCTGCTGGGACCCTTGGCCCAGGGGAGGAGCACAGTCTGGACACAAGTGCCTTTTAACAGCTCGGGGCCAGGGGAGGGGACAGCTATGGCCAGGAAATTCCTTCCCAAACAGAGGAGCCTCCCTTCCAGTACCCAGAGCCAGTGTGGGAGGAAGGGTAAGAAGCAGGTGGCCAGGGTGAGGGTGTAGAAGGTGGACACGAAGACCTTGGGATGTAGGGTGACCCTCCAGCAGCCATTCTTGTGTCCAGCAACACTCTCTGGCCATGGTGCAGAGGCCACAAGGTGAGGGAGAAAGAGCATAGGCTTGACAGGGTGCTCCCAGCTTCTTAGCTGATGCCTCTGTGTCCCCCTTTATCATCAGACATGGCAGTGCCTACCTTGAAGGATTAGGGTAGGTAGGTAATGAGCTATGCCAGTGGTGCCAAGGGTGGATCTGGGCATGGAGCAAGTGCTTACTAAATGCTTGCCAAGGCCAAGACACTGAGGTTGGTGCAGGTGAACCTCAGACCAGCTTTGGGGTGAGGAGGTAACAAGGTCTGCATCTGGCCTTTGGTTTGCCTGGCAACCTGTGGAGGGTGAATGACCACCGTGGGCCAGAGGCTGCAGGCACCAGCAACCTCTACCGCATCAAATAGGTAACAGGGCTCAGCATGAACCTGGCAGGCCAGGATCTATTTCTACCTGCATTGGGCTGCCTCAGCTGTCAGATGCCCAAGCATACTCTGTCTGACCCTTGTGACTTTGGCCCTGTCTGGTTCACCCTGACCTGTGTTGATTCCTGGTACAGGGTGGTGAGGAGGACACCAGACTACCAGCACAACACTTCACAGTGCCAGTTCTTTCCCTTGTCTAGCCTAACAGTGCCTTGCTGAAGGGAAAGCTCTAGGTCTATGGGCAGGGAAACATGCCCCCTGGGTAAGGGAGGAAGCATCCTCCTGCAAACAGGTAGGTACACTCCTACCACTTAGTATCTCCAGAAACTTTGTGTGATGAATAATGTTGCCATCCCCATTTTAAAGATGACCGTAGAGGCAGAGAGAGGTAAAACCATTTGCTCATGCCATTATATGCCTGAGCCAGGACCCAAACTCCACATGCCTGACACCAAAGTCTCTACCTCTCAAACCCTAAAATGTCTGGGAAGGAGGCATTTGTGTTGCTGTTGCCCGAGGGTGAGGTGGTTCTGGGCCTCCTATCCTCACAGGGCAGATCCTACTGCCTGGGAACACCACTGCTTCAGGCTGAGTGCAACAGAGAGGAACCCTGGACAGTAGGGTCTGGGGTGGGGGAGTAATGTCCTGGGATGGTGATGGGGGTAGACACAGGTCTTCAGGTGAACAGTGGCAGGGTTCTGGCTGTGAGAACATCACGCCCCTCTCCTCCGTGTTGATGATGGGAGATCCACTGAGCACAGACCCACAATTCATGCTTCACAGGGAGCAGCAGCCACGGGGGTCCAAACCCCAGGCCCAGGTCCTGGGCCTGCCACTACCCTGCTAGCAAAGCTCCTCCCGCACCGCACTCAAGGCATCCTCAAGCGTTTCCAGGATGGGGCTTCCCACTCCCCGCCAGGATACATGCCCTCCCCAACTCAGGGAAGACTGCAGGTGCCTCCTTTCGGTCCTGGTACCCACCCAGGCCCTGAAGCCTCCCGCCGCAGGGTCTGCGGGCGGGGCCCGGGGTGACGTCACGGACCCGGGCCAATGAGGCCGCGCGGCCGCAGGGTTCTATTGCGCAACAAAGAGAGCCCAGAACTTGAAAGGATTCCCCGGGCTCTGGCTGCGCCCGCCCGCCTCCAGCGGGTCTGCTCTCCGGGCTCCTGCCCCCATGCTGGTTTCCGCGGGTGCTGCGCCAATGGTCCTGCAGGGTCCGGCCCAGCAGCCGCTCAGGGGCGGGGCACGCAGCTCACACCCCCAGAATCTCCAACCCCTGCGATCCCAGCCCCCTGGGGCTCGGATCACCCTCCACGTCTCCAACAGACGTTCCCCCGCCTGCCAGTTCCCAGTGGATCCCCCTGGTCCTGCCCAGCCCCGAGGGCGCGTCCGAGTGACCGCCTGGGGAGGCGGAAGCTGGTGGACCGCGGTTCCCAGGCACTCTCAGGGTTGCGCGGGGAAGGGGAGGGACCAGGACCCCCAGAGTGGCCACCCTTGACCTCCGTGGGCCTCTGGGGGCGGAGTTGCCAGGCCTGAGGATGAGGGAACCGAGGGAGGGGCTGACACCGGGGAAGTTACCCTTAAGGTCCCCAAGTTGGATAGGTTCCAGCCCCAGGCGGTGCCCACGGCCCCTCGGACAGACCAGGCGACCGACCGAGCGCCGACAGTCCCCTCCCCTCCGAATCCTCCAGCGGGAATTTCCCGCCCGGCCACCCCCGGGCCAGGGCGGCGACGCTCACCCTGTTTGGGGGCTCCCGGGGCTCCTGCTCGCCGTTCCCGCCTCTGGCTCGGGCTGCGGTGCCCGCGCCCCGGGACCGAGCGCGGGCCGCCGGGGACTGCTGGCGGCGGAGCGGCCCGCGGGCCGGGGCATCCTGGCGGCTGACACCGATGGCCGGAGCGATGCGCTCGGCCCGCCGCCCTTCCCTCCCTCCCTCCCTCCCTCGGCGCCGCCTCCGCCGCGGTCGCGCTGTGCTCCCGCCGCTCGCCTGGCTGCGCTGGGCCCGGGGGCGGGGGGCGGACCAGGGCGCATGCCTCCGCCGGGGCCTCCGCGCGCCGCCCCTCGGCCCGCCCCGCCCCGCCTGCTCTCAGGCGCGGCCCGCAGCGCAGTCCGTCTGTCCGTCCGCGGTCTGCCCCTCCCCCGCAGCTGAGGCTTCAGTCCCGCGCGGCGATCGACGCCTCCCTCCCGCGCCGCAGCCTCGCGCTAGGTCTTGGGTCCTCCTGCCGTGGCCGCCTGGAGAGACCCATGCCCAGGGCTGGCGGGGCTGGCGGGCTAGAGGGAGCTGGGACAGGAGTGGGGTAGGAGGCAGTGGGAGGCTCAGGGAGACCTTCTGGGTGGAAGCCACGTCTAAGGTGAGCAGCCGTGGCGGGGTGTGGACAGGACCTGCCCTCCCGAGGACTGGCGGTTTCTAGGAACCCTGAGTTGCTTGGTCCAGAGCCAGAGCAGCGAAAGGCGAAAGGCGAGGTTAAGCCTGCTGAGGATTCCAACTTATCCCTGGGCCTTGGGGCCTATTAAAGGAATAGTCATTAGAGGTGCGGCTACCCTGTGACCACTCCTCCCCATATGGGCTCAGAGATGACCTCTCAAGCCCTGCTCCCCACCTTGCAGCTGGGATAGGCCCCAGTCAGCAGCCTGATCCCCACCTCTTCTTCTTCCCTCCCTCTGATGTCCTCCTCCCGTTAGTCTGGTAGGGTACAGGCGGTCACCCATAGACTGACAGCTGAGGCTTATCCCATCTGGGGGAAAGCATCCTGCTCCTCAATGGGGGTCTCTGGAAGACCCTCCAAAGAGTAGAGCTGATATCTTAGCCTCCTGTGTAGGTGAGCATGGTACCTGGGTCTTTTAAGAAACCCATAACCACACATAGTACCAGGCCTCAGGGCTGCCTGGCACAGCTCTGTCCTTCTGGGCACAGGGGAAGCCTCCCTGGGCAGGCAGCCCTGTGTCGGCAGAGCTGGCACACGGCCAGGGTGAGACCCAGACCAACTGCAGCACAAAGAGCTACCGGGCACTTGCCTGGTCAGACGGGTCTGCCTGGTACTGGACAGCCTGGCTTTTGTGCTCATTTAAACCATACTCAGGTCCCTGAGAATCTTCTGGGGGCCCAAGGTGGACCTTAGAGCCAGTCCTGACAGAAGTAGTTACTTGTAGAGAAAGACTACATAGTGACATGCAGGGCTTCCTGGGGAGTGGAGAGCCTGGGCCATACCCTCTCCCACACTCCCCCGTAGGATGCTCGGGGCCTCAGTATCCCCAGTGAGCCCTCCATGGACAGGCTAGCTCCTCATCCAGGTGGCCCTGGTTATAAATAGATTGCCATCAGTGGGAGGCAGGGACAGGGCAGCTGTAATCAAATGTGGCATTTTTTCTCTTTTTTTGGTGTTGGGATCAACCCAGGCCCTTGAGTTTGCTAAGCGGGTTCCACAGCTGAGCTACACCCCCAGCCCCAAGCATGGCATTTCTAAGATTCAGCCACTGAGAGCCTGGCCTCTGTCCATGGACAGAGAGCAGCCTTCCCCAGGCCTGGTCCCATCCCCCCCGGCCCCCGCCAGGCTCACTCAGTGCTGTTATCAGTGCCTCTGTCCACCTCAGCTGGCTTTGGGGCATGTGGCAGATGGACCCTAATGGCTGCCCTGGGTTTACTTATTCCATGTGGTCTTGGGTCTGGTGCTCTGTACTTCACACACCTGGGTGGTGGGTTTTAGGTACCTGACTTCCCCAAGGTCAGGTTGAGTGCCCAAGGTGGCACAGAACTAGGGAGTCTGAGGCCAGGCCCACCTTCTTATGAAGGATGCAGATGCCTAGGTCCCTGCCCCCTCAGTGAGCCCAGGCACTGCTGGGGATGGTGTGTGGCTGGCTCTGGTTCACAAAGCACGGCTTAGGGGGCCTCATCTAGCTTTCTGCTTGCGCTCAGTGGCTTCGTAAGCTCAGGGCCTCCCTGTGGCATGGGTTGTGGGTGGAGCTGGGGATGATCAACGCTGCCAGAGCCAGCCTCTAGTGGCTGAGCGGTAGGAGGGCAGAGTTGCTGGGGCTTTATGAAGTTTGAGCTGGTTCTCTCCCCTTGCTCCCCGTCAGCTAGGACTGGGGCCCGAGACAGATTCCAAAGCTCTTGGCGGGAGGGCGTTTCTACATCTGGAGCTGAGTTCTCTCTCTAGGGGCCCGAGGGAGCCTGTGCAAGGCTGCAGCTGCTGGCGGACCAGTCTCTTCTCCAGGCAGTGGGACAGATGTTTGGACTTCAGGGACAAGCCTGGGCACCTCCTCCATGGGTATATTTGGTGGACTGGGGTGGAGGGTGGAGTTCTGGCCCCTGCAGAGGCCTTAGTGGTTTATGTACCCCCAGGGGCTGCTGGTGACACACAACCCAGACACACGCAGATGCCCTCAACCCACACAGGAACACAGCAACATGGAGGATGTGGCCCTGAGTCTACTCCCTTCCAGGTTCCTGCCAGGGTGGGACCTCTGGAGCCAGGCTGCAAATCTGCAAATGCACTCTCTACAGCCAGACAGGAACGGGGGGCTGCTATGCCTGAGATTCTGGGGCACACACAGGTGCTGGGGCTCAGTGGGTGGGGCCTAGGATGAAGGCACAAGCTCACAGAATGGAAGACTGAGGCTGCACACGAGAGCCCCCACACCCTGTGTCTAGTGGGAGAGCAGACCCCCGACAAAAGACCACCAGGCTTCACAGGTCCAGCCAAACAGCAGCTTTATTAGGGCGCTGGATTCTTCACATACCTTAATATGCTCGGAAGCAATCCCTAGGGTGCCTGTGGATGCCTCCAGCATTTGGGACAATACTGTGTAGCGTTTATACTGGAAGGATATAAATAAAGCTTCGGTGCACAGGCTCTCAGGACAGGGCGCAGGTTAACACTGCCACGTGGATACGTCACACAGCACCAGCTCTCAACGGGAGTGGGGGGGTTTGGCCAAGGGGATAACTTCTAAGTGACTGAAACCGGGGCTGTCACCGCAGATGCTCAGGCCCCGATGGCGGAGAAGGGTCTAGGGCTGTGGCTCTGTATGGCCCTGTCGCTTTGCCTTCATCTGCAGGTAACGTCCTTTGCCTTCTTCAAAGCGCTTTTTCTCATCCTCGGTCTCGGGCTGTAGGCCACAGAGAAGCAGCACAGGTTAGACAGGATGCTGAACCCGAGGCAGGCTGTGTGACCTGATCCCTCCTGGGCCCTGTCCTTCCTAGAATCAGGTTCCCCCGCCTGTGTGTCTGCACCTTCCCAGGAGGGTTTGGACCCAACTTGGCCCTGATGGCCTCCTGGGGCTGCTGGATGCCAGGCACAGGCCTCCTGCTGCATCCTCCTAACCTGGCAGAGTCTGCTAAGTCCTACAGACATGCCCTCTTTACCTTTCACAGTGGTTGGAATTCCAAGCCCAGTGTCCCTTTGGTAATGCACTTCAGTTGAAAATGCACTTGATAATGAAAGGTGGGAAGGCTGGCGCTAGAGCTGGGTGTGAGCAGAGAGCAAGGAAAAGAGGAACCTTGCATTTGTTCTGCTGCCAGGGGAAGCCAGATGCCTGGGGCATGTGATCCTAGGGAAGGCAGGAACACTGATCTGGCAGTGACCTTGAGAAGGCCACTGGCCTGCCTCAGGTGCAACAGGGCCTGCTTTGTGGGGAGGTGGCCCTGCCAACCTGCTCTGGCCATGCAGGTGCTCAGAAAGTGGCCTCTTGGACCTAACGCACCTCGCTACTGTTCCTTTGAACAACTTGCGAGGCTGCACCGCATCCTTAGTGGGTGGAGCAGGCTGGCTGGTGGACTTTTTGGTTCTGGCTGGGTTCTGCCCAGGATGGTCCTGGTTCATGCCTGCTGGTGGGCTGGCACTGTGAAGGGCAGTACCCCCTACACTCTCAGGAGGAGCCTGCCATGAACCCTGGGCAGATGCCAAAGCAGGAGCATTAGGTGGTCACTTCTGAGGCCCCATCTGTGCCACTACCAAGTTCTGCCTCGAATTGCCCTGGCCAGGATTCAGGTTTAATGAGCTGTACTAATTCCCCTGGGATGCCATTTCACTTCGACGTTTTGAGGGTGTCTGTAAGCCAAAGAAACGGGGCCGCTGCCCTTCATCCACTATGACTCCAAGCCCCAGCAGCTATTTTTAGGCCTACGTGTTCTACAGACAAATGGTGAATTGGCAGAAGAGAGAACGGCAGGCAGAGGATGTAACGTCAAGTCAACACCAATGCCTCCTCCCCTCAGCCTTCTCCAGAATTGCTCCCTAAATGTCACCAGGTGTACACTGTCCAGGCTTTTGCCAGCTTGGTGTCAGTCAGACACAAGGGTATTGAAAGACACAGGGCTAGGTCCCCACAGGGGCTGAGTCCTGTTCTAAGACACTTTATGGAAGGAATCCCTCCTGCTGCTCTGGTCTGACCTCTGGCTGACTTAAGAGAGTAGAACTCCAGGCTGTTGACTTGAAACAGCCCAGAGAAGAGAAAAGGTTCTTTCTCTGCATTAGCATAAGTTCTAAGAGGGCAAGACTCCTGAGATTTCTGGGGGCTGGTGGGCTTGAGGCCCAGAATGGGGGCCCAGCAGAGGGCTCCCGTGCACAGTTGGGCAGATGTGCTAGGGCAGGGCTTCTCATGCATGCAGGGTCTGATCCAGTGGGCCTGGGACTGGGCTGAGACTCAGTTCTTAGAAGCTCCCAAGTGATGTGATGCTGCTGGGTATGGACCTCACTTGGTGTGGTCCGTCTTCATCCAGTCCTGCCAAGTGGGAGACAATGTAAAGTGGCCAAGAGTGCAAGGTCAAAGTCACCAGGCTAGAGTAGTGGGGGTCTTTCTCTCCCTCATGGAGTCTCTTGGTGTGGCTGAGGCCTGCTTCCTGCCTACCTCTCTGGGGACCTCACCTTGGGCAGA